TTTCAGCCCTTCTGCTCTCATATGAAAGCCCAAAGACCCAGGGAGTTGATCCTGGCAACGATTCACACAATCTCACCATTTTGGGGGCCAAACAATCTCCTTTTTCAAAAGATACTGTGGGAGGGCACTTTTAATGCTAATGAGCTGGTAAGAAATTCTCACTTGAATTAGTGGTCTGTACCCGTCAGGGAGGATAAGAAGGGGAACCAGACAAGCCCGCCAACGCCATTTGTGCGCATGCGTGCAAATTGATCAGTCAGTACCATGCGTGCAACTGTACTGCACTTCGCGCTTTCCGGCCCGGAGTAAATTATATTTAGCTTTGGGTACACCCACATTCATTTCGTTGTTCGCACAACCAATATACTGTACACGTACATGTACATGTATGTTGTGCACAAACCGGGCGAGAGAATCCCAGACTATGTTTCGGACGCTCTTCAGATTGGAATTTAAATGTTGTCTGCCAGCTTCCATCACTGAAAAAACTGTCCACTTCCTGGTCTTTTTGAGTGAGATGAATGATCACCATTGTAGCTGAAAAACGTGGTGGAGAACGAAGAAAACCCTCACGTTACCCTGCACTTGGAGACTTGGACCTTTCCTTGCCTAATGTCATGTAGGCCTCTGGTGTAACAAGTGATGTGATACATATATTGTGTAACTTGGAAGGAGCCTATCTATTATACAAATATTGGGAAAAAAATGTTGCATCCTGACTCCACTTTTCTCATCATAGGGCCTAGGCCTATATCATCTCAATTACAGATTACAGAAATGCTGGAAAGACACAAATTCTGGACCGAGAAACATTGTTGTTGGGAAATACTTAAAAAAATTCTCTTTACTCACCATATATCTACTTTGTACTTAACTGCTGAAGTGGAGTCAGGATGCAGCATTTTTTCCCAAATATTGACTGCTTCGAGTGGGATATTAGGCCTACTTAGTAAAACTGGCCGCCCGAGGTGATCCATGGAGCTGGAGCATTCTGTTTCCCTAAGGCAAACCCCCATGGATCACCTCGGGAGGCTAGTTTTACTGTTCCGCGAGATGAAGCAGTTAATATTTCTTTATAACACCTCCCAACAGATTCTGCAAAATTTAAGCTAGAAATCAGTAATGAAACACGAAACTGGAATTTACTTTCATCAAGTTTAATTCAAGAATTCGAAGCGGAACTGCAACCTTTGAATACATTCATTAAAATAACTGGTGTTGTTTGCTATGAGCCGAAATGCATGCCTATATGTACATATACATGTTTGTTTTCATTGCTACGGATATAGTTCTTTGGTTGCTACGGGTATAGTTCTTTTTCAGAATGAGGCTGCATGATAGAGTCTTTTTAAAGCGGTGGTGTAAAAATAATTAATCTACCAAGCGTCACATGACACACTTTCGGCCAATCAAGAAGCTGTGGGTGAGGTGTTATAAAGGGGCCTATGGCAGTCTAGGAATCATACATGATTGTTTGGCATGAAGACATGTCATTGTACACCCAAGCATGCGCATGCCAAGCTGTGAAAGCACCACTGCTGGCATGCTGGTACAGGTAGACTGGTCTGAGAAGTTCTTGGCCTAGGAGGTCTAAGTGTTTTCTAAATAACTGCTTTGACTTTTTCACTGCTGAATTTGACTTGTACATGTTATCACTTTCTGATGGCTAATTAATTACTGTAAGGATAAATAGAAATCCACTTTTATGAAACAAATTTTTGCAGCCCGCTGCTTTCTTTTTTTCAAGATGGGGCCGCTCATGATCAGCATATATATATATCACAGGCCGGGTTTTCAAGGTGCCACACATTGGAAAATATACGGTTTTGGAAAGCTTTAAGGTGTTCATATAAAAGTCCAAACTCTGAGAAATATGCCAGTGTAAGTAAAATTGTCGAGTCATTCCCATTTCAGAAGATATTAGGATTCAAAGTTTGTGACAATCCTTCAGTTTGGATTTCAGACATTTAAGACATGACTTGAAGTAGGGCTGTGGTGGCTCCCTTTTACAATCTGTCTCTTATCTGTCGCCACCACAGCCCTACGTGTGGGGCTAGTTGGTACTGTACACATGTACGTCAGCTTTAAATAAATTTCACTGTCTTTGCATACTTGTAGTTGCAGTTCAGCAGTTTCTAAGAAAACATTCACGATAGTTTGAATCCACCATTGAAACAAGTCTGACATCATGGGCTGGCTACATGCCTCACTATGCGCACTGCTACTCGTCTGCATGCTGAACGGTAAGTTGTTGGGGTGATGTTCAAAATGGCTGATTTTTCTTTCCATTTGTTTAGTTTCAAAAGTACTTTTTTGTGTCATGGTCATGACGGCACACTTAAGAGAACATGTACTTGTGTACAGACTGGTTGTTTTACTCAATCCTAAAATACATGTGTGCTCATTTCTTGCATGATTTATCGCCATTCATGTCATGCCCAAGTAATGAATGTGTGCTTTGCATTCATGTTAAATGTGTACATGTACATACATGTATGCATTAAGGATGGGATGTAGACATGTTTAAACGTTTAAACGAAAAAGTTCCAAATCTGTTTACAGACTTTCTCCAAACATTTAAATGGAAATGCCCCTTTTAGAGGTTTGACGTTTGGATTGATGCAATCTGGCGTTCATGTTTTTATTGTTAACAATGCCTGTAAAATGTAATTTGATTTTCAGAACACTTTTCTGCTTGGTCATACATGTATCAGAGTAATTCTATGAATTCATCACTGATAGTAACTTTGTGTCAGCTATTGACATTGTATCAGGGAAAACACCGAGGTAGGCGGTGGCGGCCTCTGTAAAGTATTTAAATAGTTTTATAAACGTTTTTTTAAATTAAACGTAAGCCCTTAATTGCATGTTCATTATGCTTGTATGCATATACATGTATTTGTGCAATGTACCTGAAAATGTTTTTCTCAAGTTTTGTATTGTGTATTTGGTCCATCTTTTAATTATAACTGAACACAGATTAGACATGACAAACATGTATTTCCATCATTTCGATGTTTTATCCTAGCTTCATTTGCGGCTATCACTGACCTATGTGACACAAAAAGATTTTACTTGAATGGGGCTATAACAAACATCATAAAAAATATAATAAAGGAAAAAAAATAACCTTTAATTCTCCACATTTGATTCATAAATAAATTTTAAATATCTGATTTTCCAGCTACTTTTGCCGCCATCACCGACCTTGTGGACACAACGGTGGTCCTGGGCAGAGACGCAACTCTGTTTTGTAGTAACAGTGAACACACATCAGGCTTTGCCCAGTGGATTGACATCACTGTTAGTGGCAGTCCAGTACCATTTGCTACCCAGGCTGATGGAGTTCAAAGAGTTCCTCCTGAAACATACGGAAAGTATGCCAACTTTGATTTGGATTCAGGATCTGTTACACAGTTGGACCTCAAGATATCAAGTGCTGAGCTTGAAGATGAAGGGACGTATTCATGCACCTTAAATCCAGACACCGAAACAGCCACACTGACTATAGAAAGTAAGTGTACCGGTACATGTACAATGTTTCAAGACAACTCAGCTGAATTGGTTACCAAAAAATGAATGCAAGGGCCTATGCATGATTTAAAAGAAATATTTGTTAAATTTCATAATCAGAAAATATGGAGGGCCTGATGTTACCATCCTAGCAGAATAAAGATTCCGCTAGGATCTAAACGTCAGGCCTTCAATATTTTCTGATTAGTATTTTAGGTCACTGTAGTCAGCAAGCAGTTTGCAGCAGTTTTATATTACCTGTCTCTGTAATTCTTGTTATCATAATTGTAACTTACATTTTAGCAATTATTATGAGGGAAGAGAGAGTATTACAGCTGTGGGGTTCTCCCCATGTACAAACTTGCGTATCGGGCCCGATACCCGATTATTTCTGCCCGATATGCAAAAAACGGGCCGATAACCATTTTTTCATCCCCGATTGCATGTCCAGAAAATCTAGACAAAAAAACCAGTTTGGTCCTGCATTTTTCCATGTACTGTACATGCATTGTGCACCACACGTTGGCGGCCACACTGTACTGCACTCCATACACATGTACATGTACATATTGGCACCAAACGTTCCTCGTGGCCGATATTGCATGAAATCTGAACTTCCGTCATGGGCGTTGTACATGCACTCGTGCGCAGGTGTGTTTTCTCTGTGCGGGATGTGCCGTGTGCTCAATATGGTACTGGGGCTGCATTTATGAAGGGCACAATTTTATGCTACACCATTCGTAGAACTTACATCGATCCACAGACGTATATAAAAAACCTCGACTTGCAGCGCCTTTGTATGAAGAAGCAGCCAACCAGGGGCCATTTTACCGGGCCGAATACAAATGCATGGCTTGGCTCCCCTCTATTGACGCCAGGAAGAACAAACGCGGGCATTGCCAGGAACGCTTTGTATTCGGCTTGGTAAAATGGCCGCGCGTGGATTCAATGACTCTATAAGCTGATCAAGGGCATTGCGAGTCCAGATTTTATTATACACGTCTGTGCATTGATCCCACCCACGTTCTTTTTTCATGGCGGCACCCGTAGCCCTGTGTAAGAGTATTAACCCCTTGAAGGCCACCTGCCAAACCTCAAATTCACGGTTTGTGGCCCTGCGTGCTCTGCACGCTTTGATTTACACAGTGAAAAAGCTCCCTGTTCAGTGGCATGCGGCTCTACTCACGCTTCCACATTCCCGTTGCCTCTTTTCAAAGTGGCAAAGGATTTGGATCAACTGGGATCGTAATAGGGACTTTTGTGAAGCTGGTGATTATGATGCAAATTCGGCCTTTTCATTTCGTTGCAACACACAAAGGCCAATCACCATATATACAAGAGCTAGGGTGTGTCTTCTTTCACCGTGTTCATTCGAGCGTGGGCCAAGAATAATTGCTGGAAAGCGGGCTGAGGGATCTCAATTTTTACGGCGTCTGTTAATGCGTCCCGGCGTGAAGGGGTTAATGGCATCTACGACGGGGATGAGAGTTCTCGTTGCCATATCACCGTGTTTTGTCTAAACTCAATCAAAGGTTTTTGTTAAGCCAATAACTTCAGCAGTCCGCGCTGAGGGAAACCCAAACGAAGCAGCCACCTGCAGCGGGTATTCTTTCTTGCCGATATACAAGAAAAGCCTTGTAGTTTATTTGATATAAAGACCAAATCATTTCATATTTTTATGACATTTGTTCCTTCAAGTTGATATTTTTGCCTTACAACCAAATGGAGCTCTTAGTTTCAGGTCTGATCAGCAAAACGGAAAGGTTGAAGCATTTATTAGTTTAAAATTCAAACTGATTAAACGGCAACGGGGGTTTATATCGTTGATTAAACAGCCACCACATGTTGTTGCATGTCTGAAACTTGAAATGACTCCATTTGTCATTGTTTGTGCTTACAGGCCTAATTAGTAGTCCAGAAAGGAAAACTGGTCATTTGTTAAAATACTAATATCCAAAATTTAAAAAAATATATTGAATTTGTTATGTTTTTTCCTGAGAACAGGTACTTGAAAAACCCAGGAAATTCTCTAAAATGCAGCTGAGAGCATCTATAAAGTCCCAAAATTTTTGGGCCCTTGGGCAGGGTAAACCACAATGGAAATTCCCCCCCCCCTGTTTTGAAAAATCCTGGGGAGAACCCTGAGCTGTCTTACATGTAGCATCGAACTTGACAGAAGTCCAAACAGTTGTTCTTTCGATTTTGTGCGTAATGCCTTTGCCCTTGTCTTCAGTCCAGGAGGAAAAAATTGGGCATTATCTGTAGAACTTGATTTTCCTGAAATTTTCCTCATATGTAAAATACATACATGTATTCTCAACTCACCTCCCCAACCCAGATTGCAGTGCTGTTTCTAAAGTTTTTGTGCATTCAGTTTCTAAAAAGGCCTAAACTCCACCATTTCAACAGATGCTACATGTAGTACCACAGCAAGGGCACTCTCTCAAAGGAAATTTTTAATCTGATTGGGATGATTTTCATGTGGTCGCCCCCAAAAGTCGCCAAATAATAACAGTTTCTCAACAGGCATGTAGTTTCCAGAAGTTTGTATGTACATGTATGAATACGTAACATGAACACTTCTCATTATGAAAAGCTGAATATGTCTTTCAATATTTTGCATTTTGATTTCTGGATTATTCCAACAATCTCTTAATCACATGTACTGGTATCTGGAAAAGTCTGAGTGGTACCATTAAGGTGCTTTACAGAAATTGATGTAGAACGCAAGAAATTGGTATTTTTAGGTGCCTTTGGGCATGTTGGGTGGATGCAAATGAATACCACAGACCTTACATTGCTGTGGGACACGCAAAACTTCTGGTGATTATAGCATGGATATTTTATTTACAGTCTCACTCCTGTACGTGTAGTCTCCTCTATGAAAGTGCATAGCATGCTAGTGAAGATACATTTATGTCATCTTGATTCATCTGTTTTTAGTTGAAGGTGCAGAGCCAACAATTACAATTGACGGTGATTCATCAGGAAATCCCATCATTCTGAGAGCATCTGAGCCAAGCGTGCTGAGATGCACAGCCAGGGGCTTCAGACCTGCAGTCACTTTGGAGTGGTACAAGAACAGTGTCCAGATAACAACAGGCGTCAGTCCAGAGGCACCTACTCCTAACGGAGACGCATTTGACACATCGGGCACGCTGACATTTACGCCAACTAGGCAAGACAATGAAACCATCCTAGAATGCCGAACAACAGGACAGGTGGTCGCCCCAGCAAAAACAGCATCGCTCACTCTCAATGTACAATGTATGTATACATCATGCATTTGTTTGTAATTTGTAACCACATCATGCAAAAATCTTTAAGACTTTTTCCCCATAAAATTTTATTTGTTAAAAACAGTACTGTGGAAGACTTGCAGAAGCCATTAGAAGCCTCCTAAGCCCAGAGGTGATGGTGTGCACCATGAGCTAGTTAATCCAAAGTGTTTGAGCAGGGTGTTATACCCACACAGCCCTACGTTTGAAAGACAATCCCTTCTGCAGACTTCAGAGGTGTAGCACACCTGGTGTATCCCCTTGGTTGATGGGGTTATTTGTTTTGTTTTTTGGAATTTTAACCTGTGTTTGTTCAGCTTCAAGTTTTCTGTTTACAAGTGTTCATGGAATGTTCACGTTGTTGCCAGTCCAATTGTACATGTATCATTCCCGTGTGGGTATTAATTTGTCTTACAGATGTACCAGTTGTCTCAGTTGGGTATGTCAATGAAGTAATAACTTGCTCATCGGATGCCAACCCACTGGCTACCAATCATAAGATCATCCTGAATGGCACTAACATTGTGAAGGAATTCACGACCAGCCAGGGATCTCATCCATTCACTCCAGTAGATGGCTGTACTGTCATCAGTTGCAATGCAACAAACTCAGTCGGGACGGGAACGGCAACTTTTACCGAGGAAGTATGCCCAGGTAAGTAATTTGTGTGTTTTTCTAGACCCTTTAAATTTTAGTATGGTTTTTCTTGTTTTACATATTCACAATTTAAAACCAAATTAACCTGTGAAATACGAGATGACCTTTTGTCAAACACTGAAGTTCTGTTCTGGCAGTCTTTAATGTTTGTACATTTTATCATTACTTCTGGTAATGACACCAAGGATTCCTCAAAAGTGCCCTAGGCTGTAGCTCGCAAAGCCTGAAGAAACTTTTACAGAGGAGACAATGAGAAGCAGTTACAGTTATAGAGGTGGG